TCCCTGCTCTTTTTCCAGGTCTCTCCAACCAAGCCCACTTTGCCATGGCCTCCGCTACCATTCTTTCTTGCTTCACAGCCTTCAAGTCTCTTCTGTGTGCTCCATTCTTCAGTAGACTCCTGATTTGTATTCTTTATCGGCTCTCTTAACCATCCCATCTCTCTTCTCCATACTAGTTGCCTGTATCAGTTCTCCTGCTCTTCCCTCCCCCCCCCCCAGGTGCTCTATTTTCTGGAGCCCGTTCGCTGTCTTATCCAGAACCATCTTTGCCAGAAGGAGTTCTGTCTGGCATGTGAGCTGGGTTTCCTCTTCCACATGTTGGATCTTTCTCGAGGTGACCCTTGTCAGGTCAGTGTCTGGAGACCTGGGACAATAAAAGGGGAAGGGAGGTAGACAGTAGGCAGGGACACTGCTGTGCAAATGGCCACAAAAGAGAAAATTTCCCCATTCTACCAACACACTTCCTGGATTCCAGGGCAGTAATTTTCTTCGGGCATTCCGCACCATTCCTGAGGCCTCGGCCCTTGGTCTGATCCTGGCTGACTCAGATGAGGCTTCAGGCAAAGGCAATCTGGCCAGGCTTATTCAGAGGTGGAATCGCTTCATTCTCACTCAACTGCATCAGGATATGCAGGAGCTAGAAGTACCCCAGGCTTATCGAGGTGCTGGAGGCAGGTATGAAATCGGAACATGAATATTTAAAGCCACCATGACAGTTCCCTCTGTGACTTAGAAGGTGTCCTAACTGTCTCCATGTGCATGTATTGCCTTCCCTGCCCTTAGCAGCTTTTGTTCATCGGGGGATTCTGTCATTGGGCAGCTGTTCAGCTGTGAGATGGAGAATTGCAGCCTCTGCCGCTGTGGCAGTGAGACCGTGCGAGCCTCTTCCACCCTGCTCTTCACGCTCTCCTACCCCGAGGGTAGCAACAGTGGTATACCCTGCAGCTGGGTTGGGAAGGCTCCCTCACGTGTTCCATAACATCAAGGAGAGGGTGTTGGGAGGCTAATAATGGGTAGAAGGGAGAACCTAGAGTGAAGCATCCAGTTTCCCCTCAGATAAAACCGGGAAGAACTGTGACTTTGCTCAGGTGCTGAAGCGAAGCATCTGCCTGGAGCAGAATACACAGGCCTGGTGCGACAACTGCGAGAAGTACCAGCCCACGGTAAGTCCTCCCATGTTGGGGACTTGGTGTGGTTTCATCTGGGACTAGCTATGTCAGCACCACCATCCACGGATCTCTAGGGAGTGGGAGGAACCTCAGTTTGAAAATGCAGGTCCAGGTTTTACTGTTCCCATCCAGGTTTCTTTCCCATAGGCTCATTGCCATTCCTTGTTTGTTTTTTCCTCTCAGATTCAGACCCGCAACATCCGCCATCTGCCAGATATTCTTGTTATCAACTGTGAGGTGAACAGCTTGAAAGAAGCTGATTTCTGGAGAATGCAGGCTGAGGTAAGGACCAGGTCTGGAAGCAGGGTTTTAGGTGTACTTCTTAATTTTCTCTCCCTTCTCTGCTCAATATATGATTAATGTTCCTGGGCAATCAGATATTTTTTTCCTTTGTGTTCAGGTTGCCTTCAAGATGGCAATAAAAAAGCATGGTGGGGAAATCTCTAAGAATAAAGAGTTTGCTTTGGCTGATTGGTAGGTACTGTCTGGGGGGTTAGTCAAAGGATTGAGCTACCCAGTGGCTCCTCTGGTCACTGGCTAGATCTCAGAATGAATTTCTAATTCTCTTATCCTGATAGGAAGGAACTAGGGAGTCCAGAGGGCGTGCTGATGTGTTCCTCCATTGAGGAGTTGAAGAATGTCTGGCTTCCTTTCTCCATTCGCATGAAGATGACCAAGAATAAAGGGCTGGATGTTTGCAATTGGACTGATGGGGATGAGATACAGGTTGTTGAACAACTGGGAAGAGAAAGGGGAATAAGGGAGAGAAGGTTGGGGCAGAAGCAAGGCAAGGGGAAGATGGAACTTAGTATAGGGAAAAGGAAGGGAATAAAGCCAAGTTATTTACCAGTTGTGGGCTTTTCCAGAGTGACTCAGTTCAGTATTGAGTCATAGATGGGCTAGGATGGAGATAACCCACCCTGGTCCCCCATCCCCGTCCCCCAAACTCCCTATCCTCTATCCCCATTCCCCTTCCTTCCCCATCCTTAAACTTAGCTTAGCAGCCTGGGTACCCCCCTCACAGTGGGGCCCAGCCAGGGCAGAGGAGGAGCATGGTGTCTTTGTGTATGACCTGATGGCTACTGTGGTACACATCCTGGACTCACGCACAGGGGGCAGCCTGGTGGCTCACATCAAAGTCGGAGAGACCTACCACCAGCGCAAGGAGGTGAGTGAGATACTACAAGGCAGGGACACCCCTGGTGGTAGCCACAATGGAGTCCCAGGTCTGTCCTTATCTTGACTCTGAGTCAGAGTGGTCCAGCTATCACTTTATCATCTTTTTCTGTATTTCCACAGGGTGTTACCCACCAGCAGTGGTATCTCTTCAATGACTTTCTTATTGAACCTATTGATAAGGTTAGTTGTAACACATTCCATTCCCCCTTTCATCTCCCCTTTTCCTAGAATTCTCATCCTCAGTGCTCCAGAATGCCAGGCAGATTCAGGAGGGAGGGATGGGTTCTCAAGAATAAAAAGTGTTAGCAGAACCAAAAATAGCACCTGAGTTCTGTCTTTTGTCTGGCTTGGGAAAAAGGAAAAGGGGGCATCTATATATAGACCATGAAGTGCTTTTTCTTTTATAGCATGAAGCTGTGCAGTTTGACATGAATTGGAAAGTGCCTGCTATCCTTTATTACGTCAAAAGGAATCTTAATTCTAAATACAACCTGAACAGTAAGTGGTACAGAGTAGACAGAAGGGTGTGGCAGTTTAGATTGGTCTTTTGGAAGAGATCTTGTTAAGATTAGGACAGGTAGCCAGTGTTATTATTTCCAGGGGTGATACTAAAGAGATTCCTGTTTCATCAGGCTCTAAATTTAGAACCTGGAGATGCTGAGAGTGTAGAGGGGAAGAGGTGATGGGGGGAATCTGATCAAAAGGGCTAAGGTTTTGATTTTGAGTCTAATCATTCTTCCCAAGTGAAACTTTCTTCTTTTGCAGATGGACTTCTTATTAGGTCCCTTTTTGGTGCCTTTAAACCCATAGTTTCCCTGTAACTTTGTTTTTCTGGATTTTCTAAGCTAAAGTCCAAAAAAGTCAAAGTCTTATTCTTTCCTCTCTGCTTTTTTGTTTCTCTTAGCATATTTCTTAGTAGTTTTCTGATTTGACCTATTCCATCTGTCTGTTCAGCAGACACAATCTTCTTATTCACATGCTTTGATTATTGAGAGATCACAGTGTAGACCCAGTCTCTGGTCAGCCATCCTGGGTTTCCCTCCCCTGGTTACTTCCTTATCACTAGCCATCTGTCTTCTGGATTTTCCCTTCCAGTCAAGAACCCTATTGAGGCAAGTGTCCTGCTGGCTGAAGCCTCGCTAGCACGGAAGCAGCGGAAAACACATACTACCTTTATTCCACTGATGCTGAATGAGATGCCGCAGGTTGGGGACCTGGTGGGCCTGGATGCTGAGTTTGTCACTCTTAATGAGGTAACCAGGACCAAAAGGGTGTGGTGTTGGCACAGAACTCTGGAGATATTAGGCATCACAAGCTATTCTCTGATTTCCTTATCAACTCTTCTCCTGTAGGAGGAAGCAGAGTTACGCAGTGATGGCACCAAGTCTACCATCAAACCAAGCCAGATGTCAGTAGCAAGGATTACTTGTGTTCGAGGCCAGGGACCCAATGAGGGTATCCCCTTCATTGATGACTACATCTCTACCCAGGAGCAGGTACTAGGATATCTTGTACTAGGAGGTACAAGTGAGACAGACCTTGTGCTTATGTAGAGTGCTCTAGAACCCAGGGAAGAGTAGCAGGGAGAGACTCTGCACCTCACTTCGTGAGCAACTTCTCCTTTTCTCTATGCCTAGGTGGTGGATTACTTGACTCAGTACTCGGGGATTAAGCCAGGAGACCTAGATGCCAAGATTTCCTCTAAGCACCTCACAACTCTCAAGTCTACCTACTTAAAGCTTCGTTTTCTTATAGACATTGGAGTCAAGTTTGTGGGTCATGGTCTGCAGAAGGACTTCCGGGTCATCAACCTCATGGTTCGGGCAGGGCTGTTTTTAAGAGTTTCCTTTGAATATGGGCCCTTTAGGGTATACATTGTGCTTTTGGAGAATGAGAAGTTATGGATCACCTACCTTCAGTCTCCCACTCTTTTATCTCTGCCAGGTGCCCAAGGACCAAGTCCTTGACACTGTCTATCTCTTTCATATGCCCCGAAAACGAATGATTTCCCTGCGGTTCCTTGCTTGGTACTTCCTAGGTGAGTTGGTGTACCTTGTAGGCCCTTATGGTGCTCATTAAGAGCAGGAAAAAGTGTTGGAATGAAGGGAGTAGGGAGGACCCTTAGTGGTGAGAGTTATGAATGGATTTAAGTAACTTCAGTATCCCGCTGCACTAGGAATGGCGTTTGGCTTTTTCCCTTACGGGTAGTCAAGTTTTTTTTTATTGGTTATTGGGAGTAGGGGATGTGAGTATGGGACGTATTCTTACCTTCCTTTGCTAGGTTCCAAACTATTCCACCTCTAATTCCCTCAGACCTGAAGATTCAAGGGGAAACCCATGACAGTATTGAGGATGCCCGTACAGCCCTTCAGCTCTACCGAAAGTATCTGGAGCTAAGCAAAAATGGCACGGAGCCTGAATCCTTCCACAAAGTGCTCAAGGGTCTTTATGAGAAGGGCCGAAAGATGGACTGGAAGGTTCCTGAGCCTGAGGGTCAGACGAGTCCCAAGAGTAAGGCCTGGGATGGGACAAGGGAGAGTGGACAGGGTGGGTTTTGATTGCATATGTGAAGATTATACTCATGATAATAATAATGATGATGGTGATGTTAACAATTGTACCAACTCTACCTTACATTTGTAAAGCACTCAGTGGTTTACAAAGCATTTAATCCTCCCAACATTCAGTGAAATAGATTGTATTCTTGAAAGTCTGCACTGATCCTAACCTCCTCCTGCCTAATTCTAAAATGTTTGGGGCAGGTTTGCCCTCTTTTCCTTCATAAGAAGTATTCCAGGCACTTTTTCTCCACTCACCTTAAGAGTCAATGCTCTTGATTTTGTCTCTGACAGATGCAGCTGTCTTCTCCTCAGTGTTGGCGCTCTGACCTCATCCTCTCCCAGTGAACTACTCCTCTCCCCTCAGTGTTCTGTGCCCCAGAACTGGGAGATGGTTTCCCAAGTTGGCTAGTCCTCGCCCGCTTCCAGAATTGGACCTGCTCAGGGTCTACAGATGGTGCTATTAACAGAACTGGAATGCAGCAGAGTTGCTGTAAAGGGAAGAGGTGCCAGATTCCTTTTTCATTCTTTGCAAAATAGCGGGCCAGGAACAGAGTCTAGAATTGACCCAAATGGAAAGAAATTGATATTCTCAATAAATATCCTGGGTAATTAATATCCAGGCAAAAAAACGCTCCTGGAACCAGTACTCTCAGTTCCTAGTTGGCTAAGGACTGAAGTCCTGGTTAGTGATAGGATACAACAGTAGCTCAAGAGAGCTCAAGTCTCTGACTGCTTGAGAGATGCCTGGATGGACCAGGACATCGAATATTGGTGGCCCTAGCAAACCAGTATTGCCAACACCATCATTGCCAAAAGGGCCTTTGGGTCCTAGACACAGCTTGACTGCTGTCTTCACTCCTGCTGACAGCTGAGAAGCATCTGTCTTCCATCCACTCTCCTGTCCCAAGTTTTGTTATTTTTTAAAGTTTTGTTTTAAAATGCATGTTTTATAAAATAAAAAAAAAAAAAGTATTACTGGCTTGTCATCTATGTCACTAGAGACCTGCAACTGTGGGATGCTCTGACTTAAGCTCTCCTCTCCTTTCTTTGTGTTGGCTTTCTATAACAACTGGAAAAAAACAAGCGTTCAAATTTCCACCTAGAAATGAAGGTGAAGCTCTGGAGTCCAAAGTTAAGGTTATTGGAGGAATATAGTTATGTCTTTGCTGGACAGTTATTTTTAGCTCTTTGCTATGGCTGCCTACTACCTTAAGACCAGATTCTTTTAAGATGCACAGTATGGTTTCCTCGGAAAAGGAAAGTTGGGGAAACTGACAAACTGCAGGTCTTAGGTTATCTGAAGACTTGTAGCTACTAACAGGATCTGTGAAGTGCTGCGGTGCTTCCTGGGAGATGTAGTTTGCGGGGTATTGAAACCAGGGCTTCTCACAGGCTAGCAGGGTACCTTTCTTTTGGAAGGTCCTAGCCCACCTAGACTGGCACACCCACGTGCCTCTGACCGCGTCCTTATGCCAAACGGCTCTGTCCTTGCTTCAGGCCACTCCTATTCTTCGGCTGACCCCTGGTGGTCACGTGGAGCTGCTCGCCACGCAAGTCTGGGTCCTTCTGCGATCCACCGGGGTCCTCGCAGCCTGGAAGCCGCTCCGGAGCTGCCTGTTCGCGCGAGAGTTTGGAGGGGCGGGTTTGGGGTCGGTCTCCCGTGTAGGGCTCGCACGGCAGCGCTTCGGAGCCGTGCGTAGACGGCCGCTTAGAGTGCGGGGAGCTGGGCCAGGCAGTCGCTGGGTCACCCTTGCCTGGAAAGTGGCGGAGCGCTCTGGAGAAGCCTGGACAGCCTCGCTCCCCCGCAGCCAGGTGCTACGGTCGGGAGTAAAGTGAGAGTCCGGCCGTCTTCGAGCGCCTGAGCCACGGCGGCGGCCCTGGGAGCAGAGGTGGGACGGATGCGAGTGGCACTGAGGGTCTGGAATGGACTGGAGCGAAGGCAATGGCGGCGTCCTCAGAAAGGGGGCTGGTCCGCACGGGAAAGCTATAGGCTGGAGGTGGGGATGCAGTAATCGACGGTGGTGGGTCCATATAGGCCCCAGGTATAGAGTGTTCTTCTGCCCACCACCTTTCTGCCTCCTGGCCTGAATCAGCTGCTTGCCTTGCCGGCAGCTTCTCTGTGCTTTCCGTCCTCACTTAATCGCCAACCTCCGTTCCGCAGCTGCCACATAGCCCTGTGAGCCCTAGGCAGCCAACGCTTAAGTACCAACATCTGGGGCCTCACCTGTCGACGTAGTGTCTGGGACTGAGCCCCAAGTCCCTCGCTCGCGCTCTCACTCACCGCGGGAGGGGGGGGGGGGCGGGGGGGGAAGGTTGGGGGCGGAATCCGGGTCCTCAAGCGCTGGAACAGAGGAGCTCCTTTGTGTCCTGGCCATTTCCTGAAAAGTAGAGCCAGAGTCACACTGAGGCCTTTGTAGGGTGGGGTGGGGGTAATGGAGCCGAATTCTCACACCTATGCTCTTATTCCACCCTTAACTCAGGTGGAGCAACCCCATTACTCTAAAGATGAAAGGCTGGGGTTGGCTGGCCCTGCTTCTGGGGGCCCTGCTGGGAACTGCCTGGGCTCGGAGGAGCCAGGATCTACATTGTGGAGGTAAGAGCACAAAGAGAAATGAGAGGAAGGAGGGTGGGGAAGACAGAGCCTTGGGAGAGCATGAGATACAGGGTCTGGGAGAAGAATGAATGGAAATCCCTGGGTTGATTTCCTTTCTCCCCTTCTTCCTCCTTCCTCTCCCCTCACACCAGCTTGCAGGGCTCTGGTGGATGAACTAGAGTGGGAAATCGCCCAGGTGGATCCCAAGAAGACCATTCAGATGGGCTCTTTCCGAATCAATCCAGATGGCAGCCAGTCAGTGGTGGAGGTAACTGTTACTGTTCCCCCAAATAAAGTAGCTCACTCTGAATTTGAATGAGAACTCAACTGATTAAGAAGGACCTTGGTTTAATAGATATTGACCCAGAAAGGTATCTAAAATATTGGGCTATCATATTTGTAAGAGGCTGGAGGCTTATACCCTATGCGCTTCCTGGCTCCAAACCTTAATATTATTTCTGCTGTAGTTATTAGTAGACAGGGAACCCTGATCAGCCCCCTCCTCCACATCCGTAATTCATGTCACTCATGTTTTCACTATGGCATAATTATATACGTACAAAAGAGAAAAAGAAGGCCATATCCCTGTATGTAGGAAATTTATACTTTAGTAGAAAACATAACATATACGCAAAGCTATATCTAGTGGAGAGTATACAAAGAAAAGTTAAGGTTATGATGTTTGTGAGATGCTTTATAATTATTATCCTCAAAGCCTACACTACCTCTCTTATGCTCCTATTGAGGACAGGTATTAATCTCATTTAATACAAATAAATAAAATCATTACCTTACACCCATAAGAATTAAGGGAGTTCAAAGGAAAGGAACACATAGTTAACTAGGATTTATCAAAGAAGTCTCTGTTTATCTATAATTTGGAGGTAATGACACCTGTTTTATTTCTTAGAAATGTGAAGTGAGGTAAAATAGGATCATATATTTGAAAGCACTTTGGAACCATACGAATAAACTGTACTATTTTAATTAGGGAGGGCTTTTTCGAATAAGTTAGTTGAACTAGATTTGGAAGGAAGAGTAAGGATATAAATTACTAATGTACAGAGGTGGAAGAATATGAACCAAGGCTGAGGACATTTCTAGGTGCCTTATGCTCGCTCAGAGGCCCACCTCACAGAGCTGCTAGAGGAGGTATGTGACCGGATGAAGGAGTATGGGGAACAAATTGACCCTTCCACCCACCGCAAGAACTACGTACGTGTAGTGGGCCGGAATGGAGAATCCAATGAACTGGACCTACAGGGCATCCGAATTGATTCAGACATCAGTGGCACTCTCAAGTTTGCGGTGAGCTTTGGGAATGGGTAGCTGGTTTTTGAAAATTAGGGGAGTTATGGGACAGCCCAAGTGGAAAGCTATGTTAATGTCCTTCTCCTCTCTGGAGGTGGAGGCAAGAGGCCTCTTCTTGCTGCCCTCTCTCATTCATTTCTCCCTTGGGTTGGCAGTGTGAGAGCATTGTGGAGGAATATGAGGATGAACTCATTGAATTCTTTTCCCGAGAGGCTGACAATGTTAAAGACAAACTTTGTAGTAAGCGAACAGGTAAACTACTCCCACTTTACTGCGTGTCCTCACAGCCCATTAGAACCTGGCACATTCCTTAGCATGTTCCTCTACCTCCTATCCCCCATCCTCTGATAATAGCTCAAGAATTAACTTCCATTACCTATGACTTAGAGACTTGAGTTGTTCCTCTCTATTCTCTTTCTGTCAGCTTTCAGAATTTGTGGCTCCCTCACCTGAGATCCTAGTGAAAGGATAGTGGGAATGTTTTGTCATCTAAAAGGATATGCTCTAAAAAATGGTGGTTGGTGTGTGTGCCAGTTTGGTTTGGGGCATTTTCTTGATAGTGACATATATCAGTATGAGAGTGGCATTTTCCTTCAAACTTTTATGTGCTATTTGCAGATCTATGTGACCATGCCCTGCACATATCGCATGATGAGCTATGAACCACTGGAGCGGCCCAGACTGACAGGCTTGATGGATCACCCCCAGGAGGGGAAGAGGGTGGCAATGCCTTTTATATTATGTTTTTATTGAAATGAACTGAAAAATTGTGAAACCAAAAGTATGAACTGTGTTGTCTTTTCATATCCAGAATCAACCCTTACATTAAGCTTGAAGATAGGGGATTCCAGACAGGAAAGAAAAGGGAAGGAAGTGCTTTGGAAATGGTGTAGCATGAAGGTAGGAGGAGCCTGAGGCTTTCATTCTTTTGCCATCTGAGATTCCTGCTGGACTCAAAACTAGATAAGCATTTTTTCGGTGCCTACTCAATACCATGTGTTTAGAGTCTAATTGTGGAGAGAAGAGGAGCCTCTGTGAATAAGCAAGGGAACATAGGTAAGTGTGTGGTAGTATGGGATTCTAAAAATGACTTGTATTTATACTGATGAAACATAAAGTTTAAGACAGCTTGGTCTTGAAGGAAATCATGGATATGCATTATTCTTCCCTCCCTGCCCTTCCAGATGGAGGGATCAGCAATAGCAGAGAGGAAGTGGAAATAGATGGGGTCAACTCATCTGAAAAGTAAAGGCTTTATAAGATAGGGAGAGATGAGGTAAGGGATGTTATTTAATGAAGGCCCTTGCTTGCTGGTCTAAGCTTTTAGATTTGAACCTGTAGCACTAAAGTATACCTTTTTCATCTCCATCTGTCAGTCTGGACTGTAAGTCTGTCCCCACTTTCTATGTGTAGAGATTCTTTACTGGGCATAGGGATGGAAACCTAAAGGATACCTTCTTTGAGGAGCTTCTTAAACACCTTGATCCAGAGGTATGTCTATCTCAGGGTTTGGAATGGAACACTTCTATCCCAGGAATTCCTCAGGGAAAGACTAACTGAATAAACATTTTGAAGACTTTTTAAATTAAGCATTTTAGAATCTAAAGGGAACTTGGAGGTCATATAGTTCATCTCTGCCCATTTTACAGATGAAGAAACTGAGGCCTAGAGATACCACAGGTCCTGAAGGTCTGTATTTAGTGGCAAAATTGGATCAAGAGGCTAATGTTCCGTACTGTCAATATGATCTAATATAGCTGTAAAGTAGCTTCTGTTTTAAGTCTTTTTTTTCTCTTAATACCCTGTACACACAAAGCGAATGTGTTCAACAAGGCTTTCATGTCACAAATCCCTGAGAAATCTAACACATGAACTAGTTCAGAGCAAGTTGATATTAGTTGACAACTCAGGTTCTAGTGTTAATTCCTTCTTCTCTCATCAGCCATAAGAAATGCGGTATCCTGTCAAGTCTGTTTTCCAGACCAGCTGTTACTATTTTTTCTTCTGTGATGCACATGAATAATGTTCACATTCTTCATACCCCTGTGAGTATACCCAGGATTCTGTCCATTGCCTGCTTCCTGTCTAAAAACTTAACTCTTCCATCAGAGAGCTTATCACAAGTGTGGAAGTACTCTATAGGGAACTCAAAATTGTTTTAATGTACAAAATAGCAAATAATTCACAAGCTTTAATAAAGTAATGTTAGTTGGTAATAAATTACTTGTGATACACCTCACTAGTCTGTCAAGGTACAGCTGTTAAGAACTCTCCAGCTCAACAGTCTTTGCCATTGCTACACAGGGGTGTGTCCTACATAGGGAAGAGTGGACATTATCCTCCTTGACTTGATCCTCAGAAGGTTAGGAGGATACTCTTTGCACATCTCTTTATTCATGTCATGAGTTACCACAAGGAATCCATGAATTTATCTGAATGTTTCTGGAGGCTCCCTACAACAAATGATTCTAGCCCAGTATTTTGGTAGATCAAATGCTAACCTTGCATATCTGGTTACACCTTAAGTTCTAGATGCCTTCTAAATGAGTTTATCAGTAAAATGTTAGAACTGAAAGAAACATTCTCGAATACAGTGTTCAATAATATCTGGATGTGAGTAGGAGATTTATCATGTGAAAACCCAGTCCTTTAAAAATAAATTTTAGAGGGGCTCTTGGGTGGCTCAGTCGGTTAAGCGTCCGACTTTGGCTCAGGTCACGATCTCATGGTCCGTGAGTTCAAGCCCCGCGTCGGGCTCTGTGCTGACAGCTCAGAGCCTGGAGCCTGCTTCAGATTCTATGTCTCCCTCTCTCTCTGACCCTCCCCCATTCATGCTCTGTCTCTCTCTGTCTCAAAAATAAATAAACAATAAAAAAAAATTAAGAAATAAATTTTAGAGAATTTTTATGCTGTTAAAAAGGATTCAGAGCAAGGACAAGAATCCTTTAAATACAGGACAGGGATGAATAGCAAGGGCAAAGGAACTAGTTTATGTTGAATACTCCTATAACAAGCACATACACCTTACTTAATCTCTACAATTCTAAGAAATAGATGTTGCTCCCATTTTTACAGATGAAGAAACTAAGTTCAAAGAGATTGTGTCTTAGGGAATCAAGACTTCAACCTTAGCAATTGTCTTATCCCTAGGCCAATGGGTCTTTCTATCTCATTCCTATAGTGGAGTCTCCATGTAGTTCCTAGTGGCTGTGTACACTAGTACTTTTGCTCGAAAACTACCATGCCCTCTGACTCTAATAATCAATAATGAAAAAGCACTGGGCGGGGGGGAGGGAGTGAAAAAGCATTATATCCTCCTTTCAGACTGATTATATTTTTCCAGACTGATTGTAATAAGAAACCCATTCTACCCCACCAGTCATTTTAGGTATTAAGTGTTTGTCTCTCCTACCTTTATATATTCTGGGAGGGTCACCAATTTATCATGTATTTCAGGTATGGATGTACAAACATTTTATAGTTGAGTAAGATTATTCCTTATTTTAGAAAATATTTAAAATACAGAACACACTGAGTTGATGTGCCCAGAAGACCATTAACAGTGATTCAGAAGTCCCATTCCTGAGTTACAGCTGATAATTCATAGTCATCACCATATAAACAGTACAGCTTAGTAGTTAAGGTACAGCTTCTGGGCAATTACAAGCTGTGGTCCTGAGCAGAATACTTTATCTAAACCTTGGTTTCCCCCTCTGTATACTAACTAATGTTAGAGATACTAACATTACCTACATCCTTTAGAGTTTTTGTGAGGATTAATTAAGATAGTGCATGTACCACATTTAGATAGTACCTGGAAATTATGAGTATTCAATAAATTTTAGTTACCCATTAAATACAGGAGTTTGATCTACTGATGCAGGCCTTTTCAGTTGAAGCCTAGGCTGCATTTTCCCACTTACCCTTAGCCACCAGGGGGCACCATCACCTCTGTCCATTTTAAAGAGGTCCTCCCAAGGTCAAGATGACCTCAGTGCGCAGCCTTCTCTCCACTGCCCCACTAGTTCTCAGGCACTTAGTTGTATTTAGACCTAAAGCTCATTTGGCTGCTTTATTCATGCCAATCCTCCCTTAACTTTCTTCTCTCCTCCCCAGGTCCCATTCACATTTAGGAAGAGATTCTAAGCTAGCTTCTGGGAGATCACATTTAGTCCTGATCCCTGGGCTTTCTCACTGGCGTTATAGGACTGGATGTCAGGACTAAACAACTTCAAAACAAGTCCATAAAGTAGTCATAACACTAGGCTCCAGGACATGGTGTCAAGAGGCTTAGAGCTTTGCTGTTTCCCACCCTCCTGCCGGTGACTAGAGCTCCAAAATAGGTTACCCTTATGGCCACTCAATTACTCTTTGGTAGCCTCACCCTGAAAATGCCTCTTGTATTTTGGGGTACTGGAGTTCAGACCTCTGGTTAGTCTCTGTGGATAATTAACCAGAGAGCAGAAACCAGGCCAGACTATTCTAGGGTTAGGAGGAAATCCTCTGTGAGATGCTAAATTGGGAGCAAATATTGATCATTGGAGCTTTGAAGTCACCGAGAAGGTAGTTGAGGTCAGTGTTCCTTTGGGGCACTGCTTGGCTTCTCTTCATGTAGTTCTTTCCTAAGACCTACCAATCTGATTTCCGAATCAGAGGAGTGTTGGTTGGTAAGTTGTGAAGCTAGGTACAAGGAAAATTGGGAAGAGAAAATGGTGGTTTCTCCTTCTCTTTCCCCAAGTCCAAGCTATAAACTAGTTTCTTTATAAAGTAGGTCTATCTAAACCTGGTTTGATGGTACTGAGACTTCTGAACCTTGTTATTGCTATGTGAGGAGATAAAAGGACTATTCATTTGGAGCTTGGGGTTTGTAGATTAGGTGTCCTGGTCCTTGGGTCACTTTCCCTCTGCACCTAGGTCAATGACAGTGATGGGTTTAGGAGGCAGAAAGGTCCTGAGGTCTTGTCTACCTAGATGAGTTAGTGAAAAGCAATGTAGAAGATCAATTTAGTACTGAGGTTCATTTAATGGTCTCTGGGAAGCATGGGATAAGTGTATACAAGACAGCCATGTAGGAGAAGGGGTCCAGAGGCTCTATGGGAGTGATGGAGTGAAGGAAGCGATGTGACAAATAGGGAGGATGCTTAATGCCTAATTTTGGATGAGGGGCTAGTCTGCAGCTTTTGATCTTATGGCTAGATGTGGGGTGGGCTGCATGCCTGGGGTTATGTGACTGGAATGGCAGTGGGACTAATGCCCAGGGCCCAGAGGTTTTGGCCTGTGCTGGAAGCCTTCCTTTTTTTTTTTTTTTTTTTTTTTTTAAAGATTTTATTTATGTTAGTAATGTCTATACCCAATGTGGGGCTCGAACCTATAACCCTGAGATCAAGAGTGGCATGCTTCACCAACTGAGCCTGGCACCCTTGGAAGCCTTCATATTATGGGGGCATCTGTAAGGTTTGGATTTCCTGGCACCAGACGCAGAACTGACAGCCCATAAATACACTGGATATATTCAGGCTCCTGCCTTTGCTTTCCCTCTCCATATATTGGGGTCTTTTACTATCTGTAATACTATGGCCTCTGCTGACGTCAAATGGTCATCAAGCAGCTAACTCTGGCATCATAGCCTCTGTCCACATGATGGCACCTCTATGGCCATTAAGTCATTGACCAAAGACATTCTTTAAGAAAGTATGCCAGTGGGGTAGGAGGTGCCGGCAATGATCAGTAGCTGTGATAGTATATTAAAGGATTGGCTTCCGAGGACCTTCCAAGGTCGGAGTTCTTGGGACTTTTTCTCTCATATTAACTTGAGAACTAACCCCAAATGTATTAACGGCAAGAGGGAAGCCTAAGAAGGAAGTTAACTGAGTTATCAGGCACATACTTAGTCACCTACACGCCCCCCGCCCCCCCTCCCCCGCGCCCATCCTTAATTAGCCTAACCCAGGCGGTCCAATCCTGCCCGCAACTACTGCTGTCTATGGCTCAGGTCCCGCCCACACACGCGCCGGACCAATGGCCGATCCGGAGGCGAGTCCCCTGAGAGGGGCGGGAGCGGGTTCGGGCAGTAGGCGGGGCCTCGCTGAGGACCCCGGGCTGGGCGCCGCCGCCGGTTTGTCTACCCTTTCCCTCAGCCACCTCCTTTCAACCTTGTCCACCCGTCGGCGCGGCCTTTGCTGCAGCGGCGGCGGCTCCCGTTCCTGCCGCAGCTCTGTCCCCTCCTTCCCTCCCCACCAGATCCCCGAGTTCGCCCGTCATGGCTTTACTTACTGCGGCCGCCCGGCTCTTCGGAGCCAAGGTGAGCAACTAAGGGAGGGAGCGCGCGGCCCAAGGGTGGGGCTCAGACGACTGCAGGCCCTTCAGCGCCAGGGTCTCCCTCCCCTACCCATACGCACCCCAGCGCTCCTTAAAGGGGCCCTGCGCCTGGCTGGCCGCCAGCCTTCTGTGGAGCCCTCAGGGCCATGTGCTACGTTGGCCTTCTGCCCCTCCGGGTGAAGAGAGAGCTGCCCGCCCCCGGCATGCGGTCTTGGGCGGGTGGAGAGCCCGGCCTCTGCTGTCACCCTGCATGTCTAGCGTGGAAGAGCTCTGGGCAAAGGAGCTGCCAGTG